ATCCCTAGCTATAGAACCTCAGACAAGCTACTTAATCTCCCTGTGCCTGTTTCCTCTCTGTGTCTGTAAAATTGATAATAATAAAATCTACCTGTTAGAGTTGTTATGAGGAGTATATGAATAATAAATGTTAAGTACTCAGAATACTTTTGGACCCATATTAAGGCTTCAGAAAATGCCACTATCATCACCACTAAATACCCATTGATGTTCTGAAGAAAAGGCAGGAATATGAAATCACTTATCTAAATCACAGAGCACACAAGTAACAGAATCTGGTTAAAAATACACACACACACACACACACACACACACACACACACGCACACTTCATTTTAAGTCCCGAAGATTAGACATTAAAAATTACTGATTCAGGGGCGCCTGGGTGGCTCAGTGGGTTAAAGCCTCTGCCTTCGGCTCAGGTCATGATCCCAGCAGTCCTGGGATCGAGCCCCGCATCAGGCTCTCTGCTCTGCGGAGAGCCTGCTTCCTCCTCTCTCTGCCTGCCTCCCTGCCTGCTTGTGATCTCTCTCTCTGTCAAATGAATAAATAAAATCTTTAAAAAAAAAAAAAAATTACTGATTCACTAAGTAAGGAGATTTCCCAGCCCCTCCAATTACCCAGAAATTCACAAAGGAATCCTTTAACTTAGAACACTAGCAGGGAGTAGTAGAAATAGCAATGAACATGGACTAAGGAGATCCAATAGCTCCATTACTGATTTAGCTGTACAATCTCGGGCAAGTCACCTAATCTAAACTCCAAATTGCTCATTTTAAAAAATGCTTTGCCCACATCACAGGACTGTTATGATACAAAATGAGATGATGTATGAGAAAATTTATGTAAACCATAAATACTACATGAATGTTCAAGGGCCATGTCTCACTCATTTTTAATTCCCAATGCCTAGCGGAATGCATACCAGAGGTTACAATCTAAAAGAAAAGCCATAGGAGAAGTGAAATTCACAGGATGAGGACTAAGATGAAGTAAGGGAAAGGCTTTTTACAAGAATAAGAAACCCAAATATCCAACTAATGAATGGATAAATAAAAGGTAGTATAGCCATACAATGGAATATTCTTCAGCAATAAAAAAGGATGAGATACTGATACAAACCTCAAGATGGATAACCCTTGAAACACTATGCTAAGACACAAAAGACCATATGGTGTATGATTCCATTTATATGAAATATCCAGAACAGGGTATATTTTTGCGGGGATGATGAAATGACTAAAGATGATTGTGGTGATGGATATACAACTTAATTTACTAAAAACGGTTGAACCATATACTTTAAATGAACGAACTATACAGTATGTAAATTATACCTCAAAAAAACTTTGAAAAAAGAGTAAAAGTTTGTGAGAACCACTAAAGTATAAAATTACTGGCTTTAGAATACATTTGTTTCTTTCTTACAGAAAAAAAGTGAGTTTCCTGATATTTGAATAGTTCTGACACGTAGACAAAAAAGACTGGTGGAAGAATTAGGAGAAAATACTTAAAATTACCACACCAGGGGTACCTGGGTGGTGCATTCGCTTAAGAGTCTGATTCTTGGTTTCGGCGCAGGTCGTGATCTCAGGTTGGGAGATGGAGCCCTGCATCAGTCTCCCCGCCTAGCAGAGTCTAATTGAGACTTTCCCTCTCCATAACCCCTAAAATAAATAAATAATTAAAAAAAAAATTTAACCACCCCAGACCATAATGTCTCTACAGATCTTTCCGTGGAAAACAAATGTGATATCTATTCTTATCCTTCCTTTCAAAATTCTAAGGTTAAAAATTACTTCCCAATCCTAAATAGTCTTTCCATCATGATGATTATTTCTGAACTCCCAGACTATCTCTGATACTATCAACCCCAGTACCTCTCCTATCCTTGGCTTCTATAGCACTGATATACTTCCTGGTTCTTCTCAGAATGTTTACCTGTTATTCTATAATGTCACCCCAAATTCCAAACCTCAAAGCTCTTTCACCATCATACTACTAACTTCCTATCAGTCATCTACTCACCTGTTTTTTACTACCATCTACACAGCCCTGATCAGTGAAATATCTACATTTTTGTCTCTATTAATCCTATAACAATGTACTGATACTTCAATCGTACTCTAGGCAATTTTTCATTGTCTTCACTGAGGCTGGCAAGCAGCAATGTGGCTCAACCAAAATAATTCTGATGCTATTTCTATGTGGCTTTGCAATGTGGGGTACATTTTTTTTCTTCTGAATAGATCTGTTTTTCTAATTGTTTTTGCTTACACTAGTCTTCATTTCCAGTCAAGCCAGCAAGGAGAAAAGCCGTCAGGACTGGCAGAAAACTAGCCTACTATTGAAAAACTGATTGAACCCTATCTAATGTTGCCCATAACCAATCTTAGCTCATTTCCCTTCACAGCGATACTTTCCTAATTTCCTCTAATCAGTCATCCTCCCAGGACTCTAGGCTTTTATCTTTTAATGCTTTTTTGTTTTCTTCCCTTTGTCCACAATCATCACTAAGCTCAAATTAATCTTTACTCACACATACATCTTCTTACATATCCTATGATTCTTCCTCAGTTCAATTTAAAGATTAATGCAAAAAGCTCAAAAGGAGCTTTTTGCCTGGGTTCAAATCCTCACTCTGCAGCTGACTCTCTGAGGGATTTGGGGCAAGTTACTTAACCTCTCTGTAACTCAGTTTCTTCATGGGAATAGTAAGAACTTTGCGGAAATTTTGAGATAAATACATGTAAAGAGCTTACAACAATGCCTGGCATGCAGGAGACATTCAATAAATATTAGCTATTATTTTATTCCCACAGTCATTACCTTATGCCAGACTCTCATCTTACTCATAAAATTCTCCAAGACCATTCTAGTCAGTCTCCTCACTCCAGAACACTCAGATAATGCAAAAACCTTTGTCAGGGACTATATGCATTCTCTTACTCCCAGTCTTTAGAACCCAATACAGTACCCCATCAAACTAAACCCTACATCCTTGATAGGTCCTCCACCAACACCTACTCACCAATCCTGAATTCATTTATTACTATTCACCAATACAGATTCTCTGTGCAGGTCAACCTACTTCCCGTATCTTTTTTTTTAAGGATTTAATTTACTTGTCAGAGAGAAAGAGAGTACAAGCAGGGGGAACAGCAGGCAGAGGGAGAAGCAGGCTCCCTGCTAAGTAAGGAGCCCCATGCAGGACTAAATCCCAGGACCCTGGGACCATGACCTGAGCTGAAGGCATACACTTCACCACCTGAGCCAAGGTATCCCTTGCTATATCTTCTTATACGTTGTCACTTCTTTACCTCTGTAAATACTCCCTCACTCTCCTGGAATATATCTCGGCTCCTCTGAAAATGCCTACCTTTTGCAAATCTCACTTACACCTTTCAGGTTGGCTGCCTTGTCATCCCAACCAGGAGTCTGATGTTGCTTGGTAATTTATGAATATGTATGTTATGTGTTGTTTCCCGGAAGAAGTTGAAGCATTTGTAGACACCACATATTTTATTCCTTGTCTCTCTTCATACAGACTACTTCACACACAGCGCAGTATTTTGCAAAAGTATACAAATGCTGACTGACTTACTGAAAAAATATGTTTCAGAATACATCAGAAAAACAGTCTCTATTTTCCACTGCCCCACCCATACTCAGCATGATGAAAACAGATAGAATCTGTACTTCAATATCTTTATTTTGCATGGGAGAATATATGAACTGTACCACACAAAAGGAATATATATATGCACTCAAAGACAACATACAATGCAAAAGACAAATTAAGAAAAAGTGAGCATGCTAGCCAACTTGGAATCTAAAAAGTGACTTCAAAATAGTAAGATTTTATTTCACCCAAACTAATGAACCAAAAAGAACCAAAATAAACATGTCCTGATCCCATCCAACAAGTACCTCATAAAAGTATGAAAAGTTCCCAGTATCACAAAAACCAATAACAAGATTCACCTCAACTCCAAGAGACACAAAAGGAAAACAAAAATTCTCAGGTTTACAATTAAAAAAAAAAAAAAACTTAAAAAATTTAATCACATCCATATATGCCACCCAAACAGAAAAATGAAGGGGAGTTACTGCTTTTCTATAAATATTTGTTGTGGTCTAGGAGGTATAAGGCTTCTCTCGCAGCTACTGCAGCCTGCTCCCTGTTAAGGGAGCAAGCAATCTGTGGTCACACAAGAGCGAAACACAGGAAGCTGGAAACCTTAACCTGGAACGGACATTAAGGAAAGAAACTACCCAAAACATGTTTCAAAACCAGCTTCAAAAAACAGAGTAGCGCAAAGATACTCAAGAGAAAAAGAGGAAAAGTGAAATAAAAGAGCTCCCACAAAATAAGTGACTCAGTGAAACTCTCTAGTACCGCGTTCCAAGTAAAGAGCCATGCATGCAATACTTCCATAACATGCACTCATTTCATTGGGAAGCAAAACAGAAGGGGAAAAAAATACAGGTCAGGAAAAGACAAAAAAAGATGCCCACCAGACGCTAACTCCTGGGCCGGCCCAACTCAGCTCATTCAGAAAGCCCACTAGAAGCAACAGAGACGTGAACCGCACAACCCAGAAAAGAAAAACCTCTGCCAACCAAACACACGAAAAGTAGAACGGAGAAGTGAGAACTATACACCTTAGTGCAACGGCAGCTAGAGCACACTCTTTTGGATCAAACAACAGAGAAAAGAACGAGAACAGCTAAAAGCAGAGGAGGAACGATGTCTATGATACTAAGCCCTGCCATGTCCCCTGCTGGTCTCAATTTCAGAGAGTACAACTCCTGCTTCTCCCCAGCTAACCGACAGTCGGCCTCAGCAAAGCAAACTGCCCCTAACACCTTCCACGCCACGGGAGGAAATCACAGAGGAAAAACCACCGCGTAAACCTCCCTCCTCACCAGCTGCAAAAAATGGAGGGGGGGGGGGAGACACCCTACCACGTGGGCAGGATGCAACACACACAGGACAGCAACACGTCCGCATGGAACCGCTGCCTCTGGCCCCAATGCCGGCAGAGGACACGGCGTCAGGGTGGGTGGGAACCGAGGCCCCTCGCACGGGCCCCATCCCGAAGGGCTCCCCCGAGGCCGGAGGTACTGCCCGCCTCGCCGGCCGAAAAACACCCCAAGCTTGAAGGGAAGAAGCTGCATCGTGCCGAGGTAGGGGGCCAACTCAGGCCAAGGGGCAGGTCACGGAAAGGAGGAGACCGCCGCTGTCCTCGGACTCGGCGCCCCCGGGAACCCCGTCTGACTCCCCCGGGGCCCCGCCTGGGGGAGGGGCGGGAGGCGCGGAGCCGCCGCTTCCCTGCTGAGGGGCAGCAGCAGCTGAAGAGAAACGCCGCGGGGGAGGGAGGGACCCAGCCCTCGCCACCCGCCAGGCCCCAGCCGGGACCTGGGCCCCCTGCCCCGCCCGCCGCCCACCCCGCACCGCGGCCGCGGCCGAGAAAGGAGAGGGCGTCTCGCGGAGGGCAGCCCCTGCCTCCGTCCCGGGAGATGCCCCAGCCCCGCCTCCTCGCCCGCCGCCTCGGCCCCGCCGCCGCAGCGGCGGGCACTCACCTCAGGCTGCGCAGGCCGGGACGGCCCGGCCGAGCCCCCGGCCGCTGCGTGTGTCTCCGCCTCCTGGGAAAGGTCCCAACGGCGCCTGGTGCGAGCGGCCGAGGCCCCGAGCAGCGCCGAAAGCGGCGGCGGCAGCGGGAGCAGCCAACATCCGGGGCCGCGCACCCGGAACTACTTCCCGACCCGCTCCCCTCCCGCCCCCGCCGTCGCCCCCGCCTCCCGCGACGTCGCTGCGCCACCGGCACGGCGTCGGCGGCGTCCCCTCCCTTTCGCGGGCAAGGCCGCGGCAACGCGCGCGGGATCCCTCCGCTGGGACAAGTAGTGCCCTGGGGCGCCGGGGTAGCTCCCTCAGCGCAGCCCGTATTTTGGAGTTCCGAGCGATTTGGGGTCCCTGCGCCTCCGAGTGGCGGCTAGGAAGTGGGGACGGCGGGGACAACCCCGTAGTTGACAGCAGGGACCTTTGGCCTTGGACCCTGCCCACGGATTCCTCAGGCCCCATGCTCGGGAGGAATGGTGCTTCGTGACCTTCCCCCACCCCCCCGCCCCCTTGGTAGCGGCAGGCACCCCAGCCTCTCCGGGGAAACCAGACTCCTTTTCCAACTTTGCACAGAGCGGGTTCTACAGGCCCCAAATAAGGGCACCTTGGCCCTTCAGGACCTTCCTTTTAGAACTTTACAAGTCCCGGGTTCTAGGCCCATCTCCCGAGGCTTGACCCTGTACTATCCTTAGTTTCCTTCTTAAAACAGAGTAGCTGGGACTCTAAAGGCCCTTCTGATTCTAAAATAGTTGCCCAGGGGGTACCTGGGTGGCTCAGTGGATTAAAGCTTCTGCCTTCGACTCAGGTCATGGGATCAAGCCCCGTGTTGGGCTCTCTGCTCAGCAGGGAACCTGCTTCCCTTCCTCTCTCTGCCTGCATCTCTGCCTACTTGTGATCTCTATCAAATAAATAAATAAAATATTTAAAATAGTTGTTCAGTTTATGGTCCTTCCTATCAACAGGTGGAACCTTTTGAAGAGCAGTTCGGAAGACCTGTGAACTTTGGAATTTCCTTCTACGTCAATCTTCACTGATTCTTTCTCTAAACTATTAGCACTGCTAATCTGCCCTGTAATTTCATACTTAATTACATTCAGACCTCTAATTTGCTATTGCTTCATTGGGTTAGTCGCATATATATAAGCAAGAACCAACCATACTTTTGAACTCACAGTAGGTGTTCAATATTTGGGTACTCAGATATTTGTTAGATGAATACTAGGTTGACTGGATGAAGAGAAAAGAAGAGGCCTGAACCAGTTGGCCCTGGGAACCTTTTTTGACATAGTCTGGTAGAGATCAGATAAAGATGTCAGGTAGTTAAAGAGCTGAGTACCCAGTTCCCAGTACCCAGATTGAACACCTGCCATTTGCTAAGCATTTATTCCTTTTCTGTTTAAGACTCTAGCAAGAGGGGCACCTAGGTGGCTCAGTGTTTGGTTAAAGCCTCTGCCTTCAGCTCAGGTCATGATCCCAGGGTCCTGGGATCAAGCCCCACATTGGGCTCTCTGCTCAGCAGGAAGCCTTCTCCACCCCCCCCTTCTCTCTCTGCCTGCTCTCTGCCTACTTGTGATCTCTGTCTGTCAAATAAATAAATAAAACCTTTAAAAAAAAAAAAAAGACTCTAGCAAGATTCTAGGGGCCCCTGGGTGGCTCAGTGGGTTAAAGCCTCTGCCTCCGGCTCCGGTCATGACCGCGGGTCCTGGGATCAAGTTCTACATCAGGCTCCCTGCTCAGCAGAGTCTGCTTCTCTTTTTCCCTCTGCCTCTCCCCTACTCTTGGGCACATGCATGCTCTCTGTCTATCAAATAAATAAATAAAAATCTTAGAAAAAGCAAGATTCTGAAAATGAGAAGATTAATTCACACATTTGTCCAACAAATATTTGCCAGTCACTACTAAGGTTGTTAGACACTACTTTAGTGCTTGGGATATATCAGCAAAGAGTAGAAAGAAAGGAGAAAACATATCCTTCCCTTTTGGAGTTTTCATCTATTATGAGGGAAAAGGCGATTAACATAGCAAAATTATTTAGTGTGTTAAAAGGTATTTGGTGTTATGAGGGAAAATAGAGTAGGGTAAGGCGTATGAAGAAAACTAGAGGAGGGTGGGGCTTGGGATTTTTTTTTAACAACAGCTGTTTATTTACCAATAATGGGTTTATTTGTTCAACAAATATCAGCCAAACGGTGCCTTAGGTGCTGGGGCTTCCGTGGAGAACAAGCCAAAGTTCTGAGCTGATGGACTCCCCAGCTAGCAGAGACCACATGCCAGGTGCATTCCCGTATCCCATGCAATGCTTTCGCAAGTCTGTGAGAAAGGACTCCTGTCCTCATCTTTGCAGCTAATGAAACAGTCTCAGGAGAGAAGAACCAGCCAGGATTCAAACCTGAGGTCTTCAGAGTCCAACTCCCTTTCTAGCTTCACCTCAGCTGAGATGTATTTTTCTGTTGCGTTATACCTCACCTCTTTCATCATGGAAACTCATGTGTTAACCTAGGTGAATGGCCTTAGGCTGGTATTGGGGCAAAAGGGAGGGGGAAAAGGAAAATATTTAGAGGAGAGGGAGAACTTATCAAAACATCGAGACAGGTGGAGCAAAGTAATAGGGGTGGCAAAGAGGATTTAGGGGAAGAAAAATGAAGGTAGACTCAGAATCTTCCAGTTCTGGTTTCAGGGGTTGGGATTTTAAAGCCATCCGGGAGAGCCCAATCCCTCATGTGACTTTAATGAGAAACTCGAAGAGACAGTGAGGGAGGGAGCGGTGCCTTTGTTTGGGAGTGTCCCAGGCAGAAGGAAGAGCTAGTAGAAAGGCCTGGAGGCAAAAGCATTCCTGGAAGTATTAGACACCGGGAAGAATCCAGGACACAGAGAGCAGGATGAGCAACTGAAACCGGAATGGGCTGATAAGGTCAGAATGGGGTCTTGAAGGCCATTGTAAGGATCTTGACTAAAATAAAACCACCACGGGGCTCTGAACGGAGGAGCGATAGGCAGTTCTTGCATACAAAAGACCACTCTAGCTACGGTGCTAAGAGTAGAGTGCACAGACAGCATTGCAAGTCAGAGGTTCCACTGTCCTGGTTCAAGACAAGGACTTGGACCAGGCTGATAGAGTAAGTAGGAAAAATAGGACACAGTCTCTATATTTTAACAACTCACAGTACAATGGGAAACAAATAGATTAGATAATCACAATACACTGTGATAACAGAAAGAGTATTCCGAAGAAGCAGCTACCATTGCTAGCTTTTCTGAGAGAGGGTAGAAGATGGGTCTTCTACCAATTGCCAAGGGAATTGGAAGTCTCTAGTTCTTTTTTGGGCCGTTGGGTGAATCCTTGATAACACGGCTAAAATTTGTGTTCTTCCCACCCCTTCAGATCTCAAAATCCATCATTGTCTGAGTGGGGCTAGAGACAGAAGGGTTGTAAAGAACAGTCTGGATCACGCACTTCAGAATATGGGGAAAACTGAGATTATCCCCATTTGTCGGAGGAAGAACCTATGGCCCATAGTCACCAGGTTTTAACCTGAGACCAGGATCGAGGTCATCAAAGTCCCAGACCAGAAGACTCTCTGAGTCACTTGATGGGGTCAGCCAGATGATGGGGTAAAGGAATAGAAAGACTTGTACCTGGACGGCTGCCAGAATGGCGTTGGGGACTTGGGGATCAGCAGCCCTTGAGAAGGAAAGAAACACAAGTCCCAGAATGTCAAAGATGGAAGAGCTCCCCCCACACCCTGCCTCTTCCAGAAAAAGTTGTAATGACCATAGCAGCAGGGTGCTATGGTGGGCTTCTGGGACCTGGTGGGACTGGGGAGGAAAAGCTTTAAAGCTCAGACTGGGAAGGCAGACCTGGGTTCAAGCTCGTCTTCCATGGTTTACTTCTGTGTGCCTGTATCAAGCAGTTTAGTTTCACTTAGTCTCTATTTCTTGTCTGTTAAATGGAAACAAGAATCATAGCTACCTAGCAAAAGAGACCATGCACACGCTGCCATAAATAAAGACCCCCAGGGGTGCCTGGGTGGCGCAGCGTGTTGAGTATCTGACTTGATTTCCTCTCTGGTTCCCCCCGTCCTGAGCTGGTACCGTCTTCCATCTTCCTTTGGTCTTAAGGTCATGAGATCAAGCCTGGCATCCAGCTGTGTGCTGAGCGTGGAGTCTGCTTTGGGTTTCTCTCTCTCTCTCTCTCTCCCTCTGCCCCTTCTTCCCACCTTCTCAAATAAATAAATCTTTAGAAAAATATGTATTTAAAAAATAATAATTAATAAATGAATAGAAATAAAGGCCCCGAAAGGCATTATTATGGACGAGGTCAGCACAGAAGAGAGGAGTTCACACAGTCTTAGGAGGTGGGGTGGGGTGGCCCACAGGACGGGAAGCAGGAGGGCCCTCAAAGACGAGATCAACTCAGGGGACAGAGCCTTAAGAGAAACAGATTGCTCACAGCAGTGAGATAGAGGTTTTATTGTTTTGTGTTGTTTGTAATCTTTTCCCAGCCTCACGTGGATTATAAATTTCTTGAAAGAAACACAGCCCTGAGCTGGGCTTCCAATTGCCCTAC